TTTTTACCAACTTATTTTTTATTGAGCATTACCGGTGTGGTGGCCCAGCTTGGACCAGTTCGGCCCTTACAAATATGTTCAAACCGTCCAGGGGCAGCAAGAGCACACCTTGCTGCCCCTGTGCGCACGCCTATGCTCAGCACTTTAAATGGTTCTATAAGCTGAACTCTCCCTGAACCAAAAATGTTACTCGGGATTTGCACGGAAATCTCTTCCCGCTCCAGATTTTTTCATGGCCTTATATGCACGTCTCTCCCTGGAGTATTGAGAATACACATTTTTCAATTTCCGATCGATTTCATTGGCATCTGTACTTAATTGCATACCAATTTCTTTTAACGCATCAGCTTTCTTGAATTTATTTTTGTAGTTTAAATTACTTGCATCCCACAATATGGGCGATTCCCGGTATAGCTCTATAAGCTTGCACGTGTCTTCTACATTCCATTTTTTTTCGTATTCATTCTAATTGTTATATCAATTATTATGAATATTATAATATTATTTAATTATATCCAAGTATGAAAATATGGAAATTATTAAATATAAATAAAGATTGAACTGAACTAGTAACTGCACTATACAACAAAACAATTGATACTAAATGCCTGAATCGCACTATTCACACTGTCACACTATTAATATTAATATTATCTATCGAATACTATCGAATTATTTTTACTGTTGGTTATTTTTAAAACGTTGTCCACACACGCTCGACAACGTTCTCCAAAACAACAACAAAACAAAAACCTTTTGATGTTTACCGACAYCGCTCGGGACATGACTTTGTTTTTAAAAACACGAACAATTTGTTGGAAAAATCACAATTGTTTTGAAAATGTTTTGATTTTGTCGAAAAACACAGAGTTTCTGTTTTGTTTTACTTTTGTCGTCTCTGTGTGGACCCGGCATTATAGAGTACCACACGTATTATTGTTACTAACACTTAAGCACATTCAACACTTTTTGTTTCGTCTAAACCAACATTAAGTAAATTAACAAAGAACTACACAACCAATTATTAAAAACGTTGTTCTTTTTTTGTTCTACTGCTGTAAATGGTTAAAATAAAATAGTTCTTAGGTTCTTATGTTTGATTAAACATTTTAAACTACATGTTTCATTCATAGTAGTATAT